GAAACTTGGGAAGTTTGGCTTGACACTTCCTGCCAATCNCCTGAATCTGCAAATGGGTCGCAGTACTGTTACACTTCACACCAGTTTATATTGACTAGAGCTCTCCAGTCCTCATCCTGAAACTCTGCTAGTCAAAACCTGGAACAAACTCCACTACAGACTACTTGCTCACCTTCTTGGCTCTTAGATGTTCGCATACATGTGTGTCATATATGTATAAAACGAGAATGAAGAAAATGGACGTAATGTCTGTGTAATGCACGTCGTCTTCTCTCTGATACTTCTCTCTGGTACTGTAATTAATTAATGAGAAGGTGAGCTAATGGTTCTGCTAATTTTTCAGCTTATGCTGCTGCCAGGTTACCTGGTTTGTCGCCTTTGCGGTTCATATATGCCAGTTGTTAGTTGGAAGCGCGGCACTGCAGCACTACCAAAGATATGTGCAAGAGCAGAAAAGATTATTCCTTTGCGTTTTGCGAGGGCCGAAGAGTCAAGGAATTACGAACGCAGGCTAAAACTGGTGATTAGACCAACACCGGAAGATGGATGGTATGTTATACAACAAAATGGTCTGCTGAAGTCATACTTACAGGTCTGCTGATCCGTATCATCATATTATGCGCCTCATATGTTCTTGACACGAGTTGTACATCCAGAAAAACTTCAACTGCATTGCACTACCGTGGTTAGGTATTTGTTAGCAATGACCATTATCAGTAATACTTTCGGTGAGAGATCTTTGCATTTACTTGTACTGCCTTTCGCACCAGTGATATTTTCGGAAGATTATACAGAGGGAAATAGGTTTACGTGTTTAAAATCACTCTTGTTAGTAGTATATACCTCTCTTATATAAATGCTGCTTGAATGGGTGAATTCTAGCCACCAATGAATTTTTGCAGCTCTCTAAGGCAAGACTCACGGCGATGGTAACTACAACAACTGTTAGTGGTTTTATCATGGCTCCAGTTGATTTGTCGCTAGGCCCATTAGCAGCATGCACTGTCGGTACCGCACTTTTAAGTGCATCTGCAAATACCTTCAATCATTTGTTGGAAACACCTTATGATGCGCAGATGAGAAGGACGCAAAGTCGACTGCTTGTCGTACACAGGTTGATTATTATGGCATTTGTGGCTAGTTAGGTAGAGGTGGAGTATGTTGTACTGCTCGGGATAATCTTTGGTATAAGCTATAAACCTGGCAGTGGAGAATGTGCTACTTTTTAATGTTTAAAACTACCAATCCATGCGTCGCAGTTGCACCTTTAGCTGCAGATAATTTGTCTTCGTTTTCAACATCCTCGAGGACTGAATCATACAGCAAAAACTGACTCTATCAGATATTCGCATTGATAAGATTCATTTTTGAATAAAAAATTCCATTCAGATTTTCGCCTTCTCATGCCGTCGGTTTTGCGTTATCAACAGCAGTGATTGGTATGGCAGCATTATGGATTGGTTGTAATCCATTAACAGCAGCACTTGGTTTGCTCAATGCATTGTTATATGCAGGTTCAGTTATCATTTTCATTTCTTATGACCTGTGTTCCTTTTGTACTTAAAATCGCTTTATTTAGAAGCGATCGTTTTTTAGTCTTACATCGTACATTTGTACGATGTATTTCAGCTGTTACTTGGTATTACATGGTTTTCTAGGTGTATATACGCCAATGAAACGTTATAGCATTGGGTGCACCTGGGTTGGAGCTATTGTGGGTGCCATGCCACCTTTAATGGGTTACGCTGGTGCCACGGGATCCATCCAGCCTGCTTCATTAGTACTGGCCGCTCTATTATATTGTTGGCAGTTCCCTCACTTCAATGCACTCAGTTGGAATCTACGTGCCGATTATACTCGTGCCGGTTATCGAGTCATGTGTGCAGTTAATCAAAGGCTTTGTCGATTCACTTCGCTCAGGTAGTATTCAACTATTAGTCTCATTACAATTCATTAACACTTTGTTATTACCCTTTCTCTCTCTTCTTTGTTACAGCCATTATCAATTATTCTTGACAAGATTTGATCGCCCGTTTTAGGTATTCAGCGGTAATTCTACTGCTCTGCTCGCTGGGAGCACCCTCAGCAAGTCTGACGAAATGGTTTTTTGCTGTGGAATCGCTTCCATTCAATGGTTTACTGCTTTATCTTTCCTATAAATTTTACCGGCACCCAGATGCAAAAACATCAAGGACACTTTTCCATTATACTCTCCTCCATCTGCCTCTAATTATGATGTTAATGACAGTAAGCAAGTTTGGCGATGGTCCAAATGGTTTTGAATGATGGCTTTCCTTTACTGCTTTTTTCAATGGATCAATAACGATCGCTTTATTCAGTCTTATCGGTCGATAGAAAGTTGTGTTAGCTGATCGCTCTAGTTCCTTATTCTGCGCCCATAAACATAATAAAGTATTACTTTCACTTTATTACTAGTAAATAAGCTAATAACTAACAAAATCTCCATTTTGGTAGCATTAGCAGGACTGGTTAGCGACTTCTCTGTCATCTGATAACTGCTGGTAATCCTGGCAAAACTTCTTATTTCATTATAATAGAGAAGAAAGGTAATGCTTTGAGGTATTTCTTGTTGATGAGCATAAGGTGCAAGGAAGGAGCTCATTAATGATCTTTTAATTGCCAAAGTCTGACCGAGAATAATATAACTTTGATCTCATAATATAGCTTAACTTTCATCCTTCATTGCACCTATCCTTCTCTTTTCATTGTTCAGATTTCAGTTGTGTTCGCGATACTGTAGAACATGGAAGATTCGATTTTAGCGTTTTAGTTTTCTCTTTATGATTTCTTTTGAAATCCTTTGCAGCTACAAAGATATAATAAACATTGAGGCGACAATAAAACACAAACTTGATTGATATTAACTGTTGGCTGTGGTCAGTCAGATGTTGGGTCAAGACATCAGTGATTCTCAAGAAATGGAAATCTCAAATTGCACTGCAGAGTCTCAACCAAGATAAAAAAGTTCTTTTTGTACGATTTCGGGGAATGTTTGTTCCACAACAGCTAGTATGAGCCGGCTACGAAAAAAAAATCTAGACTATATGCTGCAGAGCACAATGAAACTGGAAGAAGTTTCTCTCTTGCCAAGCTAATAGAAGAGAGTCCGACTATGAACTGTGATTTGATTAAGTACTATCTGTTTTCTTAAAACCAATTCTGGGCATGTGGTGTTAAGGAATATCGGATGTTATGACTAAGGAGCCGGGTCTTGAGCAACTCTGCAAGTGAGCTAACCCTTATTATGATCAGTTGTAACGTAAGGATTACCATTATCTATCTCCAAAATTCCAAAAAGCAGTGGAGCATTCCTTGAAACACCGTTACAAAACTATAATTGAAGACAGTAATCGTAAACTTATGAGTTTGTGAGGCATCCTGGAAACACGGTGTGATTGGTGAGGTAGGGAAGACCCAGGGAATTACCTGAGCACATACTGTGTTTTTTTATTTTGGACAAGAAATCATGGGTTATGGAAAAGTTTATGTGTAGCATCTCGCTGCTTCTATTCAGGTATGTCGTTTCCCCACGTTTTTCAAGATAGATCTCAAAAGACGCGGAGAAAACGATATACCTGGTCTAATTCGTCAAGATTCCAAATAGCAGAAAGGATGTTTCCTGAAGTGCAGAACAGCTGAGCCAGCAGAAGCCTTGTGCTCGCTTTAAAAATGCAATCAGTTCCCAACATAACCTTTAATGGAAAAGATCTTAGTAATAATAGATAAGAGTAGTAACTCCTCTTCCTATTTATCCTTATATGAAAGCAAACCCAGGAAGATAAATCACCGGTCTGATAACAAAAACTTGTTCAATGCATATGCAAGATCGCTCGATATCATTGTGGTACCTTGATAGAAGAGGAATGAAACAGAGTGGTGAACTGCAGGCTAGCGGATCAATCATTGCAGGAGGCGATTGAGAACAGAAAACATTTCATTTCTGTCCTGCTTTTCTAACCGCTACACTTTTCCCCTCCAGTCGATGCCACTAGGTGTGGTACTTTTTCGGGTCTCTTGTACAACGCTGCAACCTTCGACGCTTCCATGATCAATAAGTACATCGTGGTAGGTCGGAGAACTCAGAAAATTGAAATTAAGAACAGCTCACGTATCGCACTGCTGCACTTATGTGTCCTAACAGAGGTTCTCACGATTTTTCACCAAATCTCAGTCAACTTGATTAGCTTGTCACGGGCAGACGGCACTTCGTGGTTGGCTGTAGTAATAAGAGGTGGAGTCATAGTCGATGGTTTGTATGAGCCCTGCATGTTTTTAACTGGCCATATGGAGTATGGATGCAGAGTTGAGGACGGTATGAGATGGTTGTACGTTTATTTGGTGCGTCGGTTGCTTGCAGTTTTATGGATTGCAACGTTTCTTATTGGTATTACAGTTTACTCCTTGAGTAAGTACAATAATGCAGTGGACCACGAAATCCAGTTAAATTTCGAAAATCTGTTACACAGGTTGCAAGAGGATGTGAGGAGGGTTTGTCTTATTTCCTTTCAGCTTATGTGATTCAAAAAATACATTCCATGTATACACTTACATCACATTTATCTATCCTTCCTTGTTCGAGCTTTTCTCTTGAGACCTACCGTGCATGTTACATCTTTTCGACGTGGACTGTATAGTTCCAGACACTGTGGGTCTGCCAGTTTCTTGTGGTTTTCATGGATTTCTGTAACAAAATAAGCAGTTTAGACCCAAATGTTGCTAAAGGATCGCGTTCGAGAATGTTATCTATCTAATAATTTGCCAAAGTTCTTGACTAATGATTCGAAGGTAAGTAAAGCTCTTTTATTTTTGCAGAATTTTTCGTTCTCGTTTCAGTGAAATCCGTTTTGCAAAATTCCTGGAAATCATGAACCTTATGAACGCGGCAGTCATATTTGCATTTTGAATAATGAAGGAGGGCGAAAGAAATTGCTAGTCGATTAATCCGTTTTCCCAAATGTTGAGGGCTCATCGTTTATCAACTTATGCATAAAGATAGACTGGTCATTTATCATCGTGTTCAGTCTTCCCTGTACAGAGTTCAGTCGAGATTCTGTAGAGTCAATAAAAGTTGTCGAAAAAGTTGGAAAATGGATTTGATTGGCCCAATAATTTGGGACAGGTCAGTTTGACAAAACCTTCCTCTTGGATGGCGGTTTGAGCCTATGTCACTAAATTAATTGATAATAACTTTGTAAAAAAAATGAAAAAGTGTTTAAAATTTGTTTCTATCCGTAGTTTATTTTCAGGAATTGGCACTACCGCTACCAACAGTTGTTGACTTTCTGCCTCATCTGTATACTGTTCCAAACAACGCATTGCGTCCTGCACTAATTTACCCAAATAATTTCTCAAGGATGACAAAGACAGATCTTGTTATTGGCATACCAACAGTTGCTCGCCGCAATGTATGTGGTCGTTGAGATCTTCCAACGTTTAAGTAGTGGATTAAAACTCTTTTTATCCAATTATTTGAAATCTCGTTTCATCTGAATAAATAGATTTGTCATCAGAATAATGTATGAATTATAACATATTTAGCACTCTTACTTGATACCGACGCTGCAGTCAGTGATTGGAGGAATAGCGAGCAGTGAAATTAAGATGGTTTCCATTATTGTTCTAATTTCTGATGGCAAAGGTTCCAATTCTTCATTCGTAAAATATCAGTGCACTTCATTACAATCAGAATTTCCTCATGAATTGAACTCTGGATTGCTAACAGTATGTTTCGTTTCGAATTTCTTTTTGTCATAATGTTTTTCGACAAACGTTGTTTCTGCGTATAATTAAACTGCAAGTTTGGGAAACTTTTTTTTTTGCATTCAATGAAGAAATGTACAAGACGTTTCGGGAATGTTTTTTCCTTGTCTTACATAAGCTGAGCCGAAATCTGACTTGTTTTATTTCTTCGAAACAACGCCTAAGTTGTCGGTCTGACTTTTTTTTCTGCTTGTTCAGTCTTGAGCACAATAAAAAAGCACTGTGTTTTGTGTCGCAATAATTTTCTTCCAGGTTATTGTTCCACCTAGTGAGTGGTATCCTGATTTATATTCCGTCACTCCCACTTTTAACGACTCTCCAGAGCGAATGTATTGGCGTACGAAACAGAATCTAGATTATATATATTTGATGCTATACTCTCAGCAGCGAGGTAAATTCCAGTCAGAACATGTTAATATTACAGGATTTAGTCGAGGTTATTCAAAATTTCGCAAACGAAGAATATTAGATGTTGTTTCAGGTGAATATTATTTACAACTAGAGGATGATGTGCTCGCAAAAGCTGGATATGTCAGTCGCATCAGAAAGTTTATTGATGGAAGAGCATCCGATGATTGGCTCATGCTTGAGTTTTCATCTTTGGGCTTCATTGGAAAACTTTTTCGAACTTCCGATCTCACATTATTATTGCAGTTCATCGCAATGTTCCATAAACAGAAACCAGTGGATTGGTTGTTAGATTTGCTGTTTATAAATCGATATTGCAATCCGGGGAATTCCACCAAGCATTGTGCTGAGGTTTATATACATCCTAAAATACTAAATATCACAACAGCTCTAGTACAAAGAATATTCCGTAAGAATCTTACGGGATGGTGCATAATTGCACAATGCATAGTGTACACACCGCCAGATCTTGCAATTTCATTAGGAAACGTTGCAGTTATCCTTAGAATTTCTAGAATATACTTTGGTAAAGTCGAAATTGGACTAATTAATTCTTTCACCCTAGTTGCCATTTTCGTTTTAGAAACTCATGATGTATTGCTTGCCACTGTATCTTTTTTATTACAAGAAAAACATTGTATCAAGTCCGTGTGTTCTTCTTATTTTTCGACTCTGAAATGTAATGGTTATTTACAGTTAAGGTTGCTTGACAGCTCTGTTTGAAATCTGATTGTTATATTGTTGTGGGATGTGTTATGTGTGCTGTTGTGTTATTCCTGAGAGTTGTTTCAGTGACCTTTTAAAATGCAGATGATCTAGTTGGGATACGTAAAAGAAATTGTATTGGGGGGTTCTTTTGCATCATTTTTGATTGCGTTGCTTGTTTACCACATATGTTGAATTTTATAGTCATGATATAAAACTCCATTCAGTTAGAAACTGTTTTTTTTTTCTCCCCTCCCTCCCCCCCAACAAATTTACATGTTAAGCAAGAAGTTTGTGGGATGGAACACGTATATCATCCTGCTGTTGCGTTTAACAAACATATTAACTAAAATCGGTACTGCTGTGTACTTGTGCTTCTACATCTCAGACATGTTGATATAGCTATGGTCTGTTGTCTTTTACTTCAGCGTTACGAAAATTTCATTAGGAAAAAAAATTGTTGCAATCTTCAGCTTTACTATAATAATGAAATGAGTGACAGTATTTTTAGACAGCTTCGTCCTACATTGAAAGTAACTCCATCTTTTTCCAGACTGTGAAGCAGCACCGTATACGTCATCGACCCTCTCTTTTCCAGCATATGGGTGTTCATTCTTCGTTGGCAGGTAAAATACAGAAATTACGGGAAAGAGATTTCGGTAAGGCACAGTTTTATATACCACATCGTGATAATCCTCCTGCTAAGATCACCACAACGCTCAAAACTTATATGCTATTCGGTGAGTCTTTTGTTTTCCACTTCGAAATTGAAGTCTTTTAGCTGTTTTTTTCTTTTAAACTTTCCTCACTGTCAACTGCAGTTTGTAGTTTTGAGGAATCATGCAGTTTGATCAGTCCGCAAAATTTATTCATATTTGGTGGATTTACATGCAGGCAAATAGCGTTTTTAAATTTTTACTGCTGTGGAAAAGACTGAGGACTAGGGTAAGAAAAATCTTTTGTTATGTCAATGTTGCAGAGTTTTTTCGTTCTAGATATTGAAAATGCTTATACCGGCAGCAACTATTATTGGGCTTTTGCTCCAGTCGCTCAGGACTACATATTATTCGACTTTTATTCTGCAATTGCTCTGATTGGTTCGTTAACCAGACCTTTGTTCTAATTCAATACACATCCTTATTATCAAATAAATGGAAGTATTTAAGGTATTGTTATTCGTACCGGTAATCCCGAACATCAGGATGATATATTGAGTGAAAGTGCAGAAGTGCTACTGAGGAAAGTGAATGAGGACAGCTTCATCTCTATAGCCCGCTTCAATGAGCGTGGTACAGTACGGGTCGATTTCACTGAGAGCATCAGAGTTAATTCATTGAAAATCGAAATTCATGAGGGAAGCTCCAATTGGCTCATCATCAATGAAATGCATATCATTGTAGAATAAGGTTGTCGTATGACTCATCTTTTTGAATATTCTATAAAGCAGCTGCAGGCACATACTTTCTTATTTAGATGCTAACAGCAGTGTTTTTTTTAGTATTTTATTTACACATCTGTATTTGATCTACGCGAATTGCTCTGATTTCATTATCTTTCTGGATTCATCTTTAAGTTAAGCAGTGATCTATTTTTTACGATTCGAGTGGAAGGAATTACACTGAATACTATGGAGTGAAACGAAAGAGTCCCAGGTGAATAAAACTGCCTATTGGGCTCTTTCTAGCGTGTTTTTTGTGCAGGGAATTGTTTATTTTGTAAAATAGAACACGTATTATGTGATGTGTTGCATTCACGAATTGATGGTGCTTGATCATGGCTTCATAGAGACGTTAAGTATAAATTATTCAGATATATGTATTTTGTGAGCTTGGTACAGAGGTTAAAATGTATATTGTTTCTCTTATGCTACTGCAGATAATGTTAAGCAGTGGTGCATTATGTTCGCTCGATTGCGTTAGTTTATAGTGATGAAATGATGTATGCAAGTGTGCGGTACTCTTTCATACATTTTTACTGTCAGTAAATTTTCATCACAATTCTGTTGTGCCTTTTTAACAACCAGTGTTACCTTCTTTACTTATACATCATGCATAAATTCTGTTACGCATATCCTCTAGACCGGTGACGGCTACGTGCGGACGTGTGATATGTTGTTTTCTAGCATTGCAACGAAGCTATTTAATGATAGAAATGTGTGTAGTGGATGTCTACTTCCCTTGTTTCCCTAATGGTATGATAGTTTAGGTAGACATTGGTAGCAGCTTATCAGTAGGAGAGGGGGAAGAGAAGTAGTCCAAAGAGCAGAGATAAATGTTCAGCGGTTGTTCAGACACGGACATTCCTCATACAGTTAGTCTTACCGAACCTCTTCGTCATCATCCCTTTTTTCGGCCTTGTTTAGCAAGACAGTGTAGCAGTCCCATTCTGGTGTGTCGTTCATTTCACTTTTTTATTGAGCCTGGTCTCTCGCTGCACCACCACTTATTTTTTCAGGGGTTCTTAATCATCCAAAAGATTGCCGTCTGGCCTAGTTTTCTTAAAATATCATTCTTTGACGACAGAACTTTTCATGGTGCCAATACTTATTTGACCAGAGGCACTACTAATCATGTTATTATTGCTTTATAGGTAATCCACGAGGTTTTTACTGTTTAATTGATTGAAGGGTCGGATCCAAAAAAACGTGCGGTGTGCAGTTTTTTATAGACAACCAGTTTTTGCTGAAATTAGAAAGTGAAGTAACTGTTCTGCTACAACTCACTACTGGTGATAATTTTGTGACGTAACAATGGAAAGCACTGTTGTCCTAGTTAGAAGGAACAGCAGCATCAGATCATACTTTTACAGTAACTGTAATGTTTGGAACCTTTTCAGAAATTGTTAGCAAATTAATTGATGGCATTCACATTGATGGTATGTACTATTTTAGGGTAATCAATGGGACTTAGTCAACAGGTGGCAGATGTATACGCAGGTCAAAGTGTGTTGGTCACTGGTGCAAGTGGCTTTCTTGGCAAAGTTCTCATCGAAAAATTATTGTATTCAGTAGACTCATTAAAAAACATTTACTTGTTAATTCGTCCAAAAAATGGACTTGGTCCAAAGCAACGAATGGACAAAATTGTTCAGGTTTGTTCTACCTTTCAAGGAAGGAACGTAAAATATGAGGAACTTAAGATATAAGATTAGTGTGGCTTTTATTGAATACGTGGCACTCGTGTCAGAAATGTTAGTAAGATATATTCTTTAATTATAGGTTCAATCTTACAGGGTCCTCTGTTCGACCGATTGCGTCGGTTCAATCCAGAAATATTCTCTAAGTTGATTCCAGTCGGTGGTGACATTATGGAAGAGGGTTTGGGCCTCAATCAACTGGATATGCAAACTATCTGTGATGAAGTTTCTATCGGTAAGTTGATAATGGAAACATTTCGCCAGATCTTATTTCACAGCTATTCATTTCAGTATTCCATTGTGCGGCAACCGTGAAGTTTGATGAAGCTTTAAAAATATCTATAGAAATGAATGTTCTCGGGACACAGCGACTCGTTGCTCTTTGTCATACGATAAAAAATCTACTTGTATGTTCTCTTCTTTTATTCTCCTGTTTATCTCACGTCAGGTTTTTAGACACATCTACATTTCTGTTGTAGGTTTTTAGACACATCTACATTTCTATTGTAGGTGCTGGTTCATGTCAGTACAGCATATGCAAACTGTGACAAATCAGAGATACTAGAGGTAGTTTATCCACCTCCTGTTCCACCAAATAAACTTTTCGAGGCGATCGATTGGATGGATGATGTAGTAATTGATGCTATCACACCACATTTGCTTGGTAAACGGCCGAACACTTACACTCTAACAAAAGCTCTTGCTGAAGTTTGTTTATTTCAAATATGTAGAGAGCTACATGCTTCATAGTTCATAGTTTCTCCATATAAAGGAACGCAGAAGAGGAACTATATATTAAGGCAATGTGGAAAATATAGGTTATTAAATATCCAGCAGATCCAGGGGAATAGACGTAATGAGACCCATTATTAGGACGCATTATTGAAAAGTAGGATGCATTACTGAAAAGTTTCTTTGAGCTAATTGTTGGTAATGCTGTTCGAAAGTAACTGAAATGGAGAGTTTTAAATGAAAAATTTATCTCCAAAAGATGAGATTTATACGGTGATTTATTTAAGTTGGTCGTTACATATTTTTGCCAATTTTGGTGAAACAATAAAGCAATTTGAAGGAATAAAAGGAGTAGAGATATATTTGTAAAATTATTAAATATATTTGGAATTATGATTTTTATCAGCCATTGGAAATATGTATTTTATAAATGAACACTAATATAGTGATGCCATTTAAGGCAGTAGGAATGATTTCAAGTTACAGAGATTTATGAAAATTTTCTTCAGGAAATACATATGTTTGAGATTGATAAGTAGTGCGTTTTGTTTCTTAATGTTGATGTCGTCAGTGTGCTTTTACTGGTGCTTTTACTTCCCCTAGTAGTTGGCCAGTTTGTCTTTTTAATTAGGTGCAACTGATGGAAGATGCGAGACGGTTACCGGTAATTATTGTGAGGCCGTCAATAATAGGAGCCATGTGGCGAGATCCACTTCCTGGTTGGACAGATAATTACAATGGACCAACAGGAATTTTTGCTGCTGTGAGTTTCATTTCGCTAATAATAGGAACCACCGGCGTCACCTTGTTTTCTCTGAATTTTTTAATTTTGATGGAACTGATTACTTTCTCATTCCATCAGTTCCATACTTATCCGTGCTATTTGGAGACATTACTGTCCTCTTATAAGAATTCCAAAGCATTCATACAATTTTATTTTTATTTATTTTTTTGGATTCCATTTCCAAGAGATTCATCATGGTATTGGATTATGCAGTCGATATGCCAGTTAAGCCAGTTAAGCCCATTTTGTCTGCAAATGGGAACAGATTTTTTATAGTGCGGCAAGGGTGTATTGACAAACATGTGTGGTAGCAGCTCAGCGAAAGCGGATATAATACCAGTCGATATCGTTTCGAATTTGATGATCGTTGCTGCGGCTCACAGAACTTACACCGAGTAATATTTGCATAATGGTGTTTCATCAGTCATAGTGTTACCAAAAGCCTGCTAATTTGATGAAAAATGAAACCAGGTAAATGTTTAGGTATGAATCGATACCGGTAATACACTGCTGTTCAGGAGCATTGAATCCCGTTCAGTGGGATTTTATTGTTAATTTCATCGAACGCTTTTTCCGCACTTATCCACTGAACGAATGCTATCGCATCCCGTCAACTCACTTTCACTCCTCTAGACTTTTGTTCGAATTCAATTTTTATCTGAAGCATATGGGTCCTGCTTATCTCATCGATCTTCTGAACACATTCTGGGGTCCGAAAATAAGGTAGTCCTTTTGACAAACCTCCTGTTTTCCGTTTACCATTTCCTTTCGTCGCTTACTCTTTTTTGCAGATTTACTCGTATCTATCAGAAAGTTTTGAGACTAGTTGAAACGCTCCATTATTTTACAACTCGAGGTTGGGATTTCGATTCCAAAGGTCTCATTGAGTTATGGGAAACAACTTCAGAGAAGGACAAAAAAGTTAGTTTATCATATTCTTTTACTATGCCCTTCCATGATTAGTTTTTTCGCATTAGTCGTTCCTGAAAATGATGTATGATCATTTCGAAAATTATATTGTTTCTGTTTGCATTCACCTGTAATTTTAGTAAGCTCAGCTACGCTTTTTGACACATATTGAATAAGAACAGGTCATTTTTAAGACATCCCCACACTTTTGTCGTGCAAAAATGATTGACACAGCACGATGAAGGTATGACTGTTCCCCATTTTACAGATTTTCAATTTTGATATACGGCAACTGGATTGGGATTCGTACCTGTTCGATTACCTTATGGGCGTTAAGCGATACGTCGTTAAAGACCGTTTGGAAGAGCTTCCAAAAGCAAGGCGAAATCTTTCCTGGTATGCGGACACTAGAACGACTATCTTCAGCTTATAAATGTCTTTTTTGTACATTTTTTTCCAGGCTGAAGCTATATGCTGCAATTTTCAATGCTCTAATGTGGTGGATTTCTGTACGTATATTTGCAAGGTTAATTAACTGCACTACTTTTTTTTCCCCTTATTACATGAGCAGGGCGAAAAAAGGATAGTCATCACAGAAGAGAGTTGGTATCTCAAAAGAGAGTTCGTTTCCAGTCATTGGTATCTAATTATTGTGGGTGCAGATAAAATAATACATTTCACTCCGGAGGTTACCTAATGGTACCATAATTTTTTTCGTACCATGGTTACATTTTCAGACAACGTTCTAGAAGATATCGCTGGTTTGGTGGGAGTATCGGGTTTCTGTTAACGTATATTTGGTCGAATTACAATTTTCGTCCACCAGTTCGTTTGAAAAGCCTGGAAGAATACAAACAAAGAACAAGTTTTTAAGTGAAACATTGTGTTTAGATATTGAGCTACTGTGGTAGGGATAAGTTTTGGGTTGAATACACTATTTAGTCACTTTTGAATTTCAAGGTTTCACTTGTCGATTTATTTGCAAAGTTGTCCGTTTGTTTTAATAATCTCCACATTTCTCCTAGTCCTCTCGTGTTTGTAAGTTAGACGATATTTATGTTCTACGATTGTTATCAGTGTATTGTAGAAACGGTCGTCCAACTTCCCAAAGTTTTTTATTGCTGAAATTAAATACTTGTTCTCGTTATAAACAGTGTAGAGTTCATTGGAAGCTCCTTCATAGTGATTTGTGATATCCACTGACGAGTGCACTGTATATAAACCATCACCTGTCCTTTTACTTCAATACAATAAAGGATTACGATGGTGTTACACGCAGAAACTGAAGTGATATGTAATTAAAATCTATTTGGTTTACTGCGAACCAGTAAACCACCAATGTTTTCTGAAATGGTTGTGACCACCAATGTTTTAGTTATGAAATGGTTGTGCTTTCTGCATTTAGTAAGGATGATCTAAAGCTACCATTCCCATTTACATCTTCCCTATTCTTATATTCCGCTCTTAGTTTTTTGAATACTCCCGCTATAGATTTCATCATTTTAGTCCCGCTTATTCTGTTTGTGTAAGAATTTGGACATAAAGCTAACTGCTTCGTCTGAATGTTATTTAGTGCTGTCTACTTTTATTTTTATGATCCAGAAGGCTTTTCAAATGTTTGGAATTTTTTCAATGAGTTGTCCATTTGAACATCTGATACAGTGTCGTGAAGTATCTTGAGCCAATCCAAATTGGACTCTAAAACGTCGCTGAGGTCGGGTGTTGTATCTTGGTTAATGAACCATAGTTTTGGTTGGCCGCACTTCAGCATATGCACCCATAAAAGTTATTTTTTTTAAAAATGCGGTCGCTTGTTGATAAAGTTCAAGTCATGGTGGGAATTCTTGGTCATTGTTTCATTTTGCGCTTATGTTCATTATGATATGAATCGTTCAACTGCGCAAACTGCTGTGTGTTGAGGCCTTACAAATTGGAATATTTCTTTCACAGCTTTTAACTACAAGTCATAAAACGGAGATCAGATTGTGAAGAGGCCTGTGTCAAGTAGTAGTGATCTGAGCTCAGCTACGGAACGGGGGTGGATCATGTATGTCGTTGTGTAGGTCAATGGAGACTGAGGACAGTCTCCATTGTTCATAAGTTTTACATTTTGATTGGGAGTACTTCGTAATGGTCGATAATTTGGAGTATGAACCGGAGAGGAGGTGTTGGACAATGACAAATTTGTGGACAAGTCAAAAGGCTTTACGATTAAGATTTCATTCCTTGTTTGGGAAAACTCGAAAATGACATGAGCCTTTCGTGAATTAAGTGGTTACGAACTGTGAAATTCTACTATGACCGCTAAGACTTATTGTTGCTTGATTGAGCATTGATGTTGATATCATTGTTGTAGGAAGATAAAAAGTACCACACTAGCATAACCAGGATTGGACAAGCACTAAAATGTAGGCTTTGGTTGATGTGCCTTTGAAAAACTTCGCACTGCTGCGAACCATATGCAAAAAGTTAGCCGAAGGATTCACGTCTTGCGTTAGCGATTTGATTGACGTGGAACCGTATTGCTTCCTTACTGTTTGCACTGGAATATTCGAGATTACTCGTTATGATAGTTATCGAATGCCACTCCATTTCTTGGTTACGGGGCATGATGTGGTTGAATGGAAATGAAGCAGTCAGACGAAAGGGCAGTTTAACTGTCCAAGGATGACGAGCTTCTATAGGACTCGAAAATGACATGAGCCTTTCGTGAATTAAGTGGTTACGAACTGTGAAGCCACTTTGCTGATCGAGAAATAGATATCTCGGCGACGATTCATTTGGGGGATTTAGAAGTCACGCCTGTGTGAAGCAGTGGTAACAACCTGCGGAGTAATGGGCTGTGTAGACGTCGAATAATTCGCTATAATTGACAAAAAATGAGTCCATTTATTGATCATACATCAAAGCGTGACGTTCTCTCGATTTGCAGTGTCTTTTTATTGCTGTCTCGTACCTTTGTAATAATTTGTTTTTCTTTGTTTAGGAAGAAAAAGAATATTACTTTGTGGGTTGCTATATACTTATCCATGTCTCTTTACCAGCATTAGCGTTTGTGTTGATTTTACAGTTCATTGTCTACCGCGAATGTTTTATCATTATTTACTGCCGTTTCATTCCATTCTTCGGACTTTTTAGT